GGCAGTAGCTGCTAAAGCTCGATATTCTGCTTTTGTGGAAGATTTTGCCACCATTTTTTGTTTCTTAGCAGACCCGGAGATAAGGTTGGAACCTAGGTAAATGCAGAAACCAATAGTTGATTTTATGTCCGTTTGATTACCAACCCAATCTGCATCTATATAAGCCTGTAAATTGAGAGAATTTGATTGTATAGGCAAACAATAGGTGTTAGTTCCTTTAAGTTATCGAAGTAACATTTTAAGTGTTTATTATGAAGAGAATTGGGGTTATGCATGTGTTGACTTAAAATATTAACAGTAAAGGCAATATGCAGACGAGTGATGGTTAGGTATTGTAAAGATCTTGTAACAGGTTGGTATTTGTGAGGCTCAGAAAGAGGGGTAGGAGTTTTAAATGTGTTGATGTGGATGAGTGGATGACAGAGTGATGATAGGAATGAAGTTATGCATACCAGTAGTCTTAAGAAGTTAATTAATATAATTTTTTTGATGCAGAAAATATCCATTGGATTTATTGTGCACTTGTAATCCAAGAAATTGGGATATGGTATTGAAGCGAGAACTAATACTGTTAATAAGGTTGTGGATTTCAGATGGACACGTGCCATTAATAAGTATATCATCAGCATATACCAAAAGATAAATTTTGGTATTATTATGATGATAGATAAGAAGTGTAGGATCAGCTTTACAAAGGCTGAAATTTTTGGGACAAATAAACTGACAAAAGGTAGAATACCACTGCTGGGCGCTTGTTTTAAACCGTTTATGGCTTTGTGAAGCTTGCAGCCAAATTGTGGGTGCTGTGAATCAGTGACCCAGGGAGTTATTTCATGTAAACAGTCTTCCAAGACACCATGAAGAAAGACATTTGAAAAATCAAATTGTCGAATATCCCAATTTTCATGAGTTGCAAGTGCTATGAGCATCCGAACGGTTTGAAATTTCACGACAAGGCTAAATGTTTCATTATAATCATGCTTGGTTGTTGTGAACAACCCTGGGCCACGGCTTTATATTAAGCTATGGAATCGTTGGTATGATATTTTGTTTTAAATGTTCATAGTGGGTCCAAGAGAGCCTGTTTGTAAATGGGTGACCATATGGTTTTTGGGTAGAGGAGCAGAAGGGGCGGCATTCGAAGAGGGAGTGTCTTGAGGTGGGGCAGCTGGTTGAGAGAGTGAATGTGAAGAAGAGGAGGTAGTAGTGGATTGAGAAAGCATAGTTGAACAAGGGAGTGAGGATTGAAAGATTTGAGAAGAGGGTAAAGAAGATATAAGTAACAAAAGAGAGGGGGCAATGGAGGGCCTTGTGTTAGTTGAAATGGTGGTTATTTTGTTTTGATAGGGAAATTGATTCTCGATAAAAGTGACTTTATGTGAAACAATGAATTTTTTATTGGTAATATCAAGACATTTTTAGCCTTTGTAATGTGTATTGTAGCCGAGAAACACACATGTGGGAGGCTTTGGCCTAAATTTATGTTGAGTAACATGTGAATGTCAGGGAAAGCATACACATCCAAAAGTGTGAAATTGTTGATAATCTGGATATTTATTGTGCAAGAGTTTGTGGGGGGAATAATTTTGAGTAGTGGAGGAAGAAAGGCGATTGATTAGATAGTTAGCAGCAAGAAGAGCTTCCAACCAAAATTGAAGGGGAATATAAACGGTGTGGAGTAGAGTACGAGCGGTCAACAAGGTGTCTATGTTTACGTCTGGCAAGACCAAACTGATCTAGAGTGAAGGGACAACTAAATTGGTGTATGATTCCATTATCGTTGGGATATGAATGAAGATGGTGGGATTTGTATTTGCCCCCACCATCAGATCTAAGGTATTTGACATTTAATTAAAAATAATGTTTGATATATTGGTGTAAATTTATAAACTGAGACGTCAATTCATATTTGTTTTCCATAGAAAAACACCAGCAAAATTGAGAACAAGCATTAATAAAGTTGGCATAAAATGTATATCCTTCAACTGAAGAATATGAAAAAGGACCCCATACATCTGAATGTAACATATCAAAATTTTTATATGTTCTAGTACTAGATGAAAAATGCACTTTATGACTCTTGTTTTTGAAACACTCGTGCCAAGCTGTTGTAGTCGTTAAATCCTCAGCTTTGGGTGATATTTGGAGATGAGAGACATGACATTATGGTGAGGATGACCATGTTTGTTGTGTCACGTGTCACTTGAGCTCGTGATATTGTGTTGCAAAGCAGTGACTTGGTAAAGTCCTTGATTAGTTGAACCAGTCAATAGTATTTTCTTGTTGTGACAATCTTATATACAAAAAATAACCTGACAGTTGTTGTCCTTTGTGAGTTTGTTTGCTAAGATAAGATTGTGAGAGAGAGAAAACACGCAAAAAAGAGGGGAAAGAAACAACTTACAACTGGGAGTTGGTAGAATACCTTTACCGATATGTGAGATATCAGTGGCTTAGTCATTGCCAACAGTAACCTCGTCAGTACCTTGATATGTAAAAGATTGTTGCAGATTCTCACTGTGAGGAGTAATATGTGACGTGGCTTAAGTGTCTAATATCCACTCTTGTTTTGGAGTGTGTGTATTAGTAGCTAGAGCCATATGTTAGGGTGGATTGGTAGGTGTATATTGGATATTAGCTCGATGCCAACATGTGGTAGCTATGTGCCCTTTTTTGTAACAAACTTGACATGTAGGGGGTAGATTTCTTCTTGGGTTGAATGATGTAATTGTTCGAACTGGAAGATGTAAAATTCTTGTTGTAGTTTCTTGAAACAGATGATTACCAAGATTTTTTTGGGTGAATAAAGTAGTGGGTGAAGAAAACTTGTTAGCTTCATTAGCTAGATTGCATTCTTCACTGTAAAGAAGAGAGTACCTGATTGAAATCTTAAATTCTTAAAAACTGTGAAGAAGACCATTTAAAATGTGTAGAATAATATCTTCATTATCAACTTTAGATCCCGTTGCAGCTATGTTGTCAACCATGGTTTTAATTTGGGTGAGATATTGCATCATCGAATTTGTTCCCATCGAGGAGATGTGTAAATCATTCTTTAATTGAAACACAAAATCTAATGGTAGATTGAAATCTTCTTTCTAATGCACTCCATATTTCTGTTGTGCTATTAAGGTGACTATTATAAGAAAGAATCGAGAGAGAGAATGTTGATATGATAGCAGCAATAAGATTGCTATCAATTAATTGCCGAAAACAGTAGTCTTCGGTTTCCTCCAGTGAATTGGGTTCAAACTAATGAATCTTGGGGGGTGAAAGTAGTTGGATCTAAAAATTTTTCAAACCCGTTAGCCGTGAGAAGTTTTTGAATTTGTATTTTCCGAACCTGGTAATTCTTATATCATAATTGCTAATCTGTCATGGCCTTGATGTGAGACAATAAGAACTTGAGAGAGGTGGGAACGTTGATTTTTTTACCCTTTCGAGAGATCCATGTGATGGTAGTTGAGTAGATGATGCAAAGTCCATGAGAGGTAATGAAGAGGACATTTGGCACAGACTAATGCAAGGAGACAGGAAGGATCAAAGAGATTGTAGACCGTATAGCTCTGATACCATGAAAAAGGTTGCAGAATCTTAATTTGAGGAAGAGAAATGGAAAGAAATAGATAACAGATAAAAAGCCGGAAGAAAAAATAAGTATAGTAGAAATAATTTTCCCATACTTTATTAAGTCAAGTATACTAGTACTTATAATTGAGCCTAATGGCATACTTGAAATTTACAGAAAACATGGGAGATCTAAATAGGCTAAGATTGAGAAGCCCTAGCGAAGCAATCTACTTCAGAAGCAGGAAGCACCGATCCAAGGACGAACGAGGCGAGGATGCTTCTTACTTCGACATCTCAGGTAAGTTCTCTCTTAGTTCTCACTTATGGGCATTTCAATATATGTAAGCTTAACTCAATCAAGCTAGGCCATTCCAAACCAACAAAATCACAAAATTATGCCTAATTATTAGGCTCTGATTAAAGGGTGAGTTTGAAAGACCCATTAGTGAGCTTTTCTCATCCCAGAGATGGTAACTTGTAAGTCCTACTTATAAGCTTTGTTAAATGTAAGTTCCACAATAAGAATATTGGTCAATTAGACAAAAATAAGACTATCAAACAATGCTTAAATGTTGGGCTTCCAAAGGCGATAATCCATAACACAAACTAAATTTAGCCAAACAAGAGCTAATAAGCCCATGAATTAAAACTAAACCAACAAAAACTCGTGAGTGTTTGAAACATACTTCTTCAGGTAAAGCTAAAACTAACAGACAACTAATAGTTATGCCAAGCCTCTAAATTCTTGTCAGTCAAATCTATACTTATGAATTACAGATAGTCATGTCATCATGGTGTGTCTCTCTAAACCATATAGTGAAATTAGTGATAGTCAGCCCAATACTAATGGGTGGGTGTTAACCTCGAAAATACATCCTCAACACAAGTTTCAATCCAATTTGCTTGAGATATCTAATAAGATAACGCAACCCATAACAATCAATTAAGCTCTATCCATGGACTTTATGGCTCAAAATCCATTGATGTTCTAAAACATAATGCATGCGGATAATTGAACGACAAAACCATCATATATTGATCGGATATACCTCCACAACCCTAATCATTCCCATCAATTAGCCTTGAAGCTAAATACTAAATAATAAACCCAAAAGCTAAATATGACCATAAGCAATCTCCTTAATAAAGAGTGTTCTCACATGCGTAAAAGGGATAGATAACCTCAAGAAAAAGTACACCAAAGTATTCTCTCATGCATCAGGAAGGCTCAAAACATCGACCCTTTCCTTAGCAATCACTAAACTAAAGAACTTTAATTCACAGCAAATGAGAGTTGCAAATATGTAGATGATAAGAAAAAGAAAATCTAAATAAAGCAAATAAATCACAGCCCCCTTTGAACAAGAAGATGAACTGAAGAAATAGTACAAATAACTAAAGCAATTCAAGAGCCATAACGAATAACACACCTGAGATGTTTCAGTGCCCATATCATTCATATCCCAATCATTTAGAAGTGATCCTTTCCGATCAGATGAATTGTAGCCCTGTAAAAGCATAATAAAAATCAACATATCTTAGTTCAGCTATCAGTAGATAAGGAAGCTCATTAAAAAACAGAATATATAGAGTAGAACTGCTCCGTGAATCTATACCATGAAAGCAATAAAACATATGGTAAACAATTCCCATTTTATTGAGAAGAAAATACTTTCTCAGCAAACAAACCTTTAATATGTCCTCTTCCAGTTTTGAAATCAGCTTTTGTTGTTCATTCACCTTCATAGTTAGCTCTGCAATCTTAGATTCACTTACTTCTAGCAAGCTCGATTTTTCTGAAATTTTGACCTTCATAATATAAAAATGTCAACTTAGTAGTCAAACATTGCAAAATTGTTGTTTCCAACAGAAAGACATGATAAAAGTCTAAAAATTATGATATTCCAGTGGTTGATCGAATATTTAGTTTCAACAAGTAACAAAAATGAATATGCATTAGAATTTATGTATCAAAGACGCCAAACCTTCAATTGTGTCAACTCATGCTCCATTTTCCGGTTCTTGTCAAGAAGCAACGTCTCCATCTTGCTCATCTCTTGTCCCTCGGTTGCTAGTTCCCAATCTTCAGCCTCAATGGAATTATACCCAACGGCCTTCAGATGGAAGCAATAGCTTAGTAAAAATGGAGCACATGGTACAATGAAAAAAGATCCAAATAACATCACAAATTTTGGAGCATAGAAATATTTAATGGAGGTAGCAACCTTAAGAAACTAAAGCCATCAGTAACTTTGGAAGAAGACATAAGTCCAGTATCAAAATACAAGATCAATGGTCAATAAAATATAGTTTAAATTTCAGTAAGGAAGAAGTGTGACAGTAAGTTTCAGACTGAGATTTAGTTTCATAAAAAAAGCCAAACCCTCCAACACAGATTGCACCAAATACATCTAACTCAAGGGAGTTTCACAATAAAGGAAGGAGACAACCCCCTTTTACATCAATTTAAAAATGCAAATCTATTAAAACTATTTGTACACAATATAAAACTCTACAAAAAATCACATCTATAAGATTTGATGTGCTAGTTATGTCGTGGTACATGAACAAGTGACCAACAAGCCTCACATACCTATGAATTAAACTAAACAAAATTTAGAAATCCACATCTAACATAACAGAAAAATCTTGCAAACTGACAAAAAGTTTTTGGAAGATTTGCATATACTACTCAATTCTTATTTATTTAACATATCTGACACCTAAACTTCAATTTTTACATATCTAACACCTACAAATCAAATTTTACATACATGCCACCTTATCTATACATGAAAAGGTGTGTTTTTGTACATCATAAATGTGTATCTGTATAGTTTTTGTACCTTTTTTGTTATATTAATGCAAATGCACATTTTCACGAAAAGGTACATTTCAATTTTTAAAAGTTAAAATAGTGATATTTTTTATATGATATGAAGGAATTGGGTGGTATAAATGTAAAAAAAAAAGTTGAAGTGTTAGTTATGTAAATACATAGAAATTGGGTGGTATGTGTGTAAATGTCCCTAAGTTTTAAGAAAGTTCCAAGGAAGAAAGTAAAAGTAACCAAGAGATATGCTAGATAACCTAAAAGTGTAGTCGAGTTGGAATAGCCATCTTACCTATTTGAAGCTGTAATACAGATAAAAAAAATTTGCAACCATAAAAGAAACCCGTGCACGTGAACAATCAACATAAGGGCAGAGATGCGATGCAGATTATGAGGGTCATGAATTGTTCTTATTAACTATAATTAGTGAATTATGTTTTTGGAGTTTTACCCCTAAATTTAGCATTAGTGTTAGCTAGAATAAAGCGCTTTCCAATCTGAGATTTCTACTTCTTTTAATTTCCCTGTTTAGCTTTCACATAGATACCACCGGCTTAAGGATATTACTGGAAGTGGAGACCTGAGTTCCCTGTTTGGCTTTCACATAGCTATCCTTAGAGGATTTAAAGTTGGTTATGGTTGATTCATATACGTTCGTTTTCACAGGATGATAGGATTTAACTCAAACGGTTGTTGTAGTTACTTGTCGGATGCAACCAAGACTTGAATTTTAAATTAACTGAAACCTAACTTGGTAGATTTTATGCTAATCATATCTGTTAATCTAAAGAAAGAATTCTACAAATAAAAATATGAAGTATGTATTATTAGACAACTTTTGATTAATAAAATCAAAATTTTTGTTTTCAATCTTGTATTTGACTATTGGATGTGGGATTTTGCTCTGAGTGAGGTGTAGCGTGATAAATGAATTTTGGGGGTAGCTATCTCCATGTACCAACATAAGGCCTAAATTTTCATTGTTTAGGTACTATCTCGTGCTATAAATCCTCACCAAGGGTTTGGGATAGGGGCGGGCCTACATTCATTTGAAGCAATCATATTGCTGTATTCATGCATCGGAATGCTCAGCAGTATAGCAAACTTAATTAGCACAAAACACAAAGAGTAAGCATGCCTTCCAAACCAAGTTACAGCATGAATTGCTTATGAGACGGCACACGAGTTGTAGAGAGCGAGTCATGACAATGACAATTTTCTCATTTATCTTATCAAAAGTATCACATCAAGCATTATTTCTGAGCACCCAATTTGTTTTTCTTGCTTTAGTTGGTATATTTAATTTTTTTTATTTTTGTATTCAAGAATATGCCAGTGATTAGAGACAAAAAAAATACATATTTTTTCTTCCTTGGCTTCAAATTAGGTTATATAATTGGCATGATTTCTTAGATTCAGTTAAGTTAATTCCAAAAAATGGTTGAGAAAGCAATGATATACTGCATTGTATCTTCATTTATTTGTGTTGGTTATATATATATATATATATATATATCATATGATACATCACACACTAGCATCGTAAAAGGATGAAACATAGATAAAACACAAAAAAACAAAACTTGCATGAAATAAGCTTCTAGGCACGAGCCAGCTTGGTCTTGCCTCTGCCTCTGGTTCTAGGAGCAGAAACATCTAACAAATTGTTGAGTGTCGTTCCATTACCCGAAGTTACTAGAGTATCATCCATTAAGTTCCCAAGCTGGAGTGAGCCTTCATTCTTCTTTTTCTTTCTAGATGTGTAAGTCTGTCATTCCTCATCCGAGAACTGGCTCATCTGATCGGTGTGGGCATGTAGGAGAGAATAAGCCCTCAGCTCCTGACTAACAGTAACAATATTTTGATTCTGAAGAGATGTTAAGCATGTCTCTTCAACACCTGATGCATCCTGGGGATGTGGAGCTTCAACACTATCCTGATTATCGGCCCCAAGTAAACCATCTGTCAATATATCAGTCGGAAGAACAGAGATCGGTAGTGGAAGGGGGAGGTGGCATTGTGTCAACCGGTGTTTCAATAGTCTGTGGAATGCACTCAGGAGCGGAGGAGGGACATGTATGAGGTGGGGCAGATCCATAAGCGTTTTTACTTAAAGGTTTTAAATTTGGATGCAACTGATAACATTGAGAAGGAGAATGTCCAAACATACGACAGTGGGTACAATAAAGTGGTATCTGTTCAAGTTCTGCTTACTGCCAAAATCTATGATGTTGTGTGTCAATCCATATTTCTCCCGGAAATAGTAAAGTAATATACTAGTAAAGTAATATCCCTTTCTATCAAAATTTTGGCTTCTGAAGGCAGAGCTAGATTCACTGTAGGCAGAGTTAGATTCACTGTAGGCATGTCAGTTTTGAGGGGTTTACCGTACATCGCTAAAGCAAAGAGAAGCACTTGATAAAAAAGATGAATCTTCAAACCTGGAAAGCGCAGCCAAACAAGAATGGTAGGAGTTTCAGTACGAGGGTCAAAATCCACCGTCCATTTTAAAACTTTCATCACCTGATTTTCTATTCAAAGAAGTCTTCTCGCAAACAAATGGGTGGTCTTCATCATTTGATAATTGAATAAGAATGTGGCGACCATCCAATTTACCGATCTTTCAACCCCCTTTCAGCTTCATTTGTTCAAAGTTTTTTCGAATTAGCTCAAGTTTAGGGTTTCCATAAAGAAACTTACCAACTAAGAACAGTCGGCATAGAACAGTAGGCAAAGCGCAGCTAGAGTGGAGATCTTTGCCCAGTGAAAAATTTTGCAGGTTTGCCGTTTTTACGAGAAGCTTTTTTGAGAAATCTGATTTCAGTGCCAAGAGCAAAATTGTCGTGGTATCGTCATTTGTTCAAAGTTCTTTTGAATTAGCTCAAGTTTAGGATTTCCATAAAGAAACTTACCAACTAAGAACAGTCGGCAAAACGCAGCTAGAGTGAAGATCTCTGTCTTAATGAGAAAGATTGCAGGTTTGTCGTTTTTACGGGAAGCTTTTTTGAGAAATCCGGTTTCAGTGTCAAGAGCAAAATTGTCGTGGTATCGTTGCGGAAATATATTCGAAAGAGGGGCAGAGACGAGGTTATCACTGGCGAGGGAGGTGGCATAGGAACGCCTTGATGCCATTTCTACAGCAAAAAATGTCGATCGGCACAGACGCAGACGCAGAAGCAGCGCACGTCGATCGGAAGACAAGCTGCGGTTTCGGCGCCGGGCGCGT